GTCCCGATTGGAGATCATCCAAAGCTAGCGTCTCAGCTGCTACGAAAAGGGGCATAGAAATGGTGGAAGCGCATCGACAGCGGTCCACAGACACCGAAGTCGTGGACGTGGGCCTTCTTTGATTGGGCCTTCAAGAAAGAGTACATCCCAGCCCGATTCTGGGAAGAGAAGCTGGCGGAGTTTATGGAGTTGCAGCAAGGGAGCATGACCCTTGCTCAACTACAACAGAAGTTTGAGCACCTGACTCAGTTTGCACCCACCCTGGTATCCACGCCAGTCGACCGAATCGAAGAATTCTAGAGAGACTGCGTCCGGACGTGCAACCGTATGTATCCATCATGACCACCACCAACTTCTTTGAGTCGTACAACCTGATGGAGAAGCCAGAAAAGGATGTGCTGGACCTTAAGGCGAGTTGGAGTGCTGGAGGGGCGGGACCCAATCACCGGCCGACAACCAGCACGACAACAAGCAGCTAGAGGCCATTTAGGGGTACTAAGGGTACCCAGAACTTCAGGAAGACAATGTCTGCACCGGCTTAGTCGCAATCGGCGCGTAAATAAAGCAAACCATCCAGGCACTCTGCATGCAATCTATGTGGAAGAAATCATTCGGGCGACGGCTGGTTCACGCAGGACCTATGCCTAGGATGCGGGAAGGTGGGACACTTCCGAAAGGATTGCCTTATTAACCCAAGACCGGCCTTCCCCACAATAGAAGCTCAGACGCAGACATCTAGACTGAGGCTGGCGCAGAGTCAGAGATCGACAGCAGGTTCAAATTTACAGGCCAGAACCAGAATCACATCCAGAACTGACAGTAGGGACGTACTCCTGCATGCACCTACGCCATGCTGGGGTGTACTGAAGTGAACCACGACGTCATCTTGGGCATGTTCTCGTTATTTGATACTCCAATGCTTGCATTAATAGATCCAGGATATACGTTACCATACATTTGTATTCCTATGCCCGAGAAATCTGACATCCAGAGAGGCGATCTAGAGTATCGTATGGTAGTATCTAATTCGTTAGGGCATACCATGCGACTCGATAATCTATACCGCAATTGTCTGGTGATGGCTCAAGGACACTAACTATCTGCGAACCTAATCCATTTACCATACAAGGAGTTTGACGTGATCCTTTGTATGGATTAGCTAACCGAACACCAAGAACTAATTGACTGCGGACTGCGCACCGTGCGATTGAAGACCGACGAAGATAATGTCATGGAGGTCAAGGGGGAGCTATTCCTTAAACGTTTGGAGTTTATGTCATATATGAAAGCAAAGCGACTCATCCGAAAGAAATGCCAAGCATTCATATGCCACGTTCGCGATACTCACAAGGAAACCCCTGAGCAGCAAGATATCCTTACCGTTTGTGATTTCACCAACGTATTTCCCGATGACCATCTGGTTTGCCACCGCCAGGGGAGGTGGAGTTCTCAATTAATCTGGTTCCTGGGACGGAGATGATCTCTACGACACCATACCACATGGAACGTGCGGAGATGAAGGAGCTTAAGGCTCGGCTGTAAGAATTGTTGGAAAAGGGATTCATCAAGGCGAGTGTGTCCCCGTTTGGGTCATTGTGGACCGATGGACTAAGTGAGCACACTCCCTTCCTATCCGATGAGACTTTTCCTTGCACAAGTTAGCTGAACTTTACATCTGTGAAATCGTGAGACTACATGGACTGCCAGTGTCCATTATCTCAGATCGCGATCCGCAAATCACATCTCAGTTCTAGAAGAGTCTTTAGAAGGCTCTTGGTACCAAGCTCAATTTCAGTACAACATTTCACCCTCAGACGGATGGTAGTTTGAGAGAACAATTCAAATCTTGGAAGACATGATGAGAGCTTGCATCATCGACTTTGGCGATGATTGGGAGCGATACCTGCCATTAATGGAGTTTGCCTATAGCAACAGCTACCATGCTAGTATTCAGATGGATCTGTACGAGGTGTTGTACGGAAGATGATGCAGAACCCCGGTCTGTTGGACCGAGTTGAGCGAGCCCAAGCTCAAAGGACATGACCTTATCCGCGAGGCAGAAGATCGAGAAAGTTCGCTTGATATGTGACCTACAACAATTTGCTTCGGATCGTCCGAAGTCCTACACCGGCCTCAGGTGTAGAAAGATTGAGTATAATAATGATGATGGGGTATTCCTTAAAGTCTCCCCATGGAGAAAGGTGTTCATATTTAGAAAGAAAGGCAAGCTAAGTCATTGGACCATACTAGGTCATTGAACGAGTAGGACCGTTGGCTTATAGGTTGGAGTTACCTCCAGAGCTACAGAAGATACATGACGTACTCCATGTGTCTATGTTAAGAAGATACCGGTCAGATTCATCACATGTTTTACCCGAGAGAGCAGTCACCCTCGACGAGAGCCTCACTTATGTTGAAGAACCCGTACAGATCCTAGCGTGTGAAGTGAAGGAGCTAAGGAACAAGACATTCCCTTTGGTTAAGGTGCTTTGGCGAAACCATGCGGTGGAAGAAGGAACCTGGGAGACCGAGAAGTCTATGAGAGCTCAGTATACTCAACTCTTCAATAATCAATGCCTTAGGTAATGTCAAGGACAAAATTATTGCAACACCCCAGCCCCCACCGTAGCCGTAAGCATCTGCTCAAATTGCTCCAGGTCAAGCACTCTTGACTTTGGAGTTTCTAAGTGATAATCTCTCGAAAAGAAGATGCACCTTGTTGATATTAGTAGTACTATCAATCCTTTTGAACCTTTTCTTTCCCCAATCTACTTATTTTTAAATCAGGGTATTACAATTATTCTAAGGGGAAAAGAAATATAACACCCCAAAACCCGGCCTATCAGAATTAATTAATTCAAAATAGTTAATTAATTACTGAGACAGACTCGATAGAATTATAAAATGTTCTTTTTTTGATAAAAAGATTAATACCGTTGTGTAGGATTCGACAGGACAAATCCAACAGTGCAAACCAATTCAGATTTGGAGCCCATGGGCCCGGAAAGTACGTTTTGGACCAGGTACGTTAATTACGGAGCCCAAAAACCCAAACCTATAAATAAACCCCTTACACGCCTCCCCATAATTTACGTAAAACTCACCCCTCTCTCTCGTTTCTTCTCTCGCAACCGAAGAACAGGAGCAGGACCGGAACAATTGCAAAGAAGAAGAAAAGGACTTTGTATTAGTGTAAACCATCAAAATGTTGGTGCATACCTTTGGTGTATAAATAGGGTACAAATTTTGGAGTACATGTAGCATGGTACTATCAATTATCATGACAGTGATAGTAAAACAAGACCCAGTTGATACTGTAATTAACTGTGATGAAGTTCACCACCGTACGTCTATTTAACACAGTGGCATCTTTTTGTAGGCAAAAAGTTTCTCCTGAACAGTATTTGACACTCGTATAAAAGTAAAATGATGTTACAAACAGAAACAACAAAACCGTGACACCAAACCTAAACAACCCAATGAATCAAAAGCGCCCTAGATATTGCTAGCAGATGAAGATACACCTGGCAGAAAAGAAATGAATAACGACGTTCGATGATTAACATGCTATTAAGCAATGGCGTAAACAAGTGTCTCGTAACCCTCGGGGCGCCACATTGTCTTCTGCACACACAGCAAACCTTCTTTGTCCTTGGAATATGTCATCCTAACCTCATAATGCATCGACTTGAAAATGTTTTCCAGTTCACTAATTATGTCGACGCGGTCGCGCACTATGATCTTCCCTTCCGGTCTTAATATCCGATCCACCTCCGCGACCAACCCCATCAAGCTACACCTGCACAAGTTAGTGCACACAAAAAATTACATATTTTAGATCGCAGCAGAGAGACACGNAATGATGTTACAAACAGAAAGAACAAAATCGTGACACCAAACCTAAACAACCCAATGAATCAAAAGCGCCCTAGATATTGCTAGCAGATGAAGATACACCTGGCAGAAAAGAAATGAATAACGACGTTCGATGATGAACATGCTATTAAGCAATGGCGTAAACAAGTGTCTCGTAACCCTCGGGGCGCCACATTGTCTTCTGCACACACAGCAAACCTTCTTTGTCCTTGGAATATGTCATCCTAACCTCATAATGCATCGACTTGAAAATGTTTTCCAGTTCACTAATTATGTCGACGCGGTCGCGCACTATGATCTTCCCTTCCGGTCTTAATATCCGATCCACCTCCGCGACCAACCCCATCAAGCTACACCTGCACAAGTTAGTGCACACAAAAAATTACATATTTTAGATCGCAGCAGAGAGACACGAAGGGTGGAATAAGTGTGTGGGAAGAGGATCCATACTTTATCTTTATCTTGGAGAAGAGATGATCGGCATGGAGAAGATCATAAGATCGAGGGTAAGTGTTGAATGATTCACACCAATCATGGTACATTCCGAAAAGACCCCTCTCATATATTATAGGTAAGGTATCAGCAGAATCAATTGAAACAATGTTCATAACCCAAATTTTCAAATCTTTCAGGGCAGCTGCAAATCTGAATGAACAAGACAAACAAAATACTAGAATGAAAAAAAGGCTACTGAAGTGAGGCGGGGAGATTTTCTCTCCAACCAAACCATCATTCAAATTACATATCAGTTGGGTTCAATGGCCACTTGTTTTGAGTGGCCACGGAAGCCACCTCCACTCTATGGTCCTCCGTTCGTAAAATTGATGATTACTCTCCATCCTAACCCCCGTAGTAAACCCCCCTACACAGTCTCGACCCCAACTCATCCCCCACCTACGTCAATTGCATTCTGCAAGTCTAGTTGACTTTAAAGTCTAAAATTTTGGCTTCAAAGTCAACTAAACTTGTGGGTAGGGGGATGAGTTGGGGTCAGGACTGGGTGGGGGGGGGGGTTACCAGGGGCTTAGGAGGGGTAAAAGCAATCAATTTTACGAACGAAACACCGTAGGTGTCTGAATCAGAACAGTGGCTACCGTGGCCACTGCAACCCAGTGGTCATAGAACCGGGCCGATTATATAAATTAGTATCTATAAGCTCTGCATACTCACCCACCATACACAGCATTCATGTCCATGACATTCCGCACAGTAGACCAATTGATGGCACTCATGTATGACTTGGTCACAACTCGTGTCCAATGTTTGTGATCTGCAGCAAAATCTTCAGGAGCTGGCTTTCCATAAACTCCTGTCTGGGAACTCAGTAGCCAATATGGTGATTTTGCAAGCCTAGCAGGCCACATTTCAGGCCATTGAGATCCTCTTTTTGATTCAGCTGTGGGAACTTTGTGCATGCAAGATTGTAAGGGCACATTCCTGAAAACATATTATGATGTTTATATCAAATCATTAGCAATGAGTACCACCTATGCTAGTAGGCAGGTGGACCGTGAATTTGAAATAGAGCTGCGAAAAGCTACCAAACACATTTTTAAAGTAATATACTCTTGACAGAAAAGTAGAAAACAAAGTGGCAGTACCAGGCTGCATTAGGATCGTCAGAGTCAATGCAGAGTGGAGGATCATCTTCCGACCTCTGCTCATAGCACTCATTTGAAATAGGCTTGCGAAAAAAGGCAGCGCCTACTCCATTCAAACTGTCCTTGTTGACTTTAACCATTTTCCAGCACATTTTTTTGGTTAATTTCTTCATGGCTGCAAATAATTATTCAGAAAATAGTGGATAATTTTAGTCAAGATAAATCATTAACTGGGAAAGTTCAAGTCATATTATCACTGTTGAACAAATTACCTTCCCAGATTTCAACATCTTCCTGAAGCTTCTGGTAGACAGGAGTGGCAGACCATACAAAGTACCCACCAGGACGGAGAACACGGTTAAGTTCCAAGAGCAGCTTACCACCTATAATGTAACAAAACGTTGTCAGCTGTTTTAAGGGAAATTGAATGACACAAATGGATGCTGACAAAAATATCTCTGTTGTAATAAAAAAAGATAGACTAAAATACCTTCGATATGCCAGGGAACCCTACACCGTGCACAATGTACAATATCAAAGACTCCACTGGGGTAGGGAAGTCTTTTGGTACCCATGACAGCAGATATAGCAGGAATTCCTCTTTCAAGTGCAAACTGAACCTGAGCTTCATGTTCGTCTTTTGGAGCAAATGACATAGCTAATACATCTCTTTCAAAAAGAAAGCCTCCAAAGCTGGCAACCCCACAACCAACATCTAATATTACACGAGTACGTTTTCCCCATGCAATGTCAGGCAGAGACTGCAGCAACAATGCAATGATTTACATAACAATGTCATTCGTGCTTTAAAATTCTTTTATTGTGTTTCTGGTGTTAAAAACCTAGTTTTCTTATCATTTCCCTTCAAGAGCTTACACTCATTATTGTGCTATCAAAATTTTACGTAAGCACCGAATAAGAAATGACACAAAAGCTTCATGCCATTATACACCGATAACGATGAAATGCTCTGAGTTAGATCCCAAAGGGAGAGGACATTCAGCTTTTGAAATGTAACAAATGGTACAAGTTCTAACTTCGTAAAAATTATATTTCACATGGAATCATCAACAGTTAGACAAGAAGAAACTTGAGCAGAAGATTTGTCTTACTAGCTATCCATGTTCGAGTGCTTTTCAGACCCCTACACTTCACTTCTTATTCTCTTGGATTGAATTACATCATATTAACAAAAAATGGCCACTTAAGACCTAGAGTTATGAATTACTTGTAGATGCCAACCTGTTGTAGGAAATCAATATAATTTAGAGCACCATGCTTAAACTGGGTTCCACCGCCAGGGAAGATAAGGTATTCACCACTAAATTTAACCCAATTTTGATGTCCCTTAACCTCTGCAAGCTTTGTGTGTGGAACATTATGGTACCATATCTGCATGTAGAGAAGATTCGCATGTTCAATTATTCTAAGATGATTATTTAACAATAAGAGAAAATCAAAAATAAATTTGAGGAATGGCATAGCACTACCTTTTCCCGGCTTGTAGGCCACTCAATTGGGCGTTTATATCCTTCTGGAAGTGGAACAAGGCAAGTTGGAGAACTTTCAGGACAGTGTCTCTCCCTGTGCTCATAATGCTTAGTACTTCTGAGATGCTTAATGGCATCCAGATTGTCAAGACAAGGGATGTAATCGGGGCCAGCAGTGACATTGCAGAGCTTCCAACTATTCCATTTCTCCTTATCCAATCCAGAAGACTTTTGAATCTCCTTTTCATTCTTTGATTCTGTTGCCTGAGTTGAAAATGCCCCATTCTGTGTCGTAGTTTCATTCAGAAGCTCAGACTGAGATCCTGAAGGAAAAACTTCATTTGAAGATTCCTTTTTCTCATCAGAAGCATCCTGATCCTTTTTGTCTTCCTTATCATCTATTTTACTATCTTCTTTGTCACCTTCTTTTCTCTCACCGGTGCTTTCTTCTGTGGTTTTCTCAGCATCAACTACATCAGACGTGTTCACATCAGAGCCTTCTCCCGCAGATTTGCTTTCAGTGCTCCCCCCTTCTTCAGACTTCTTATCATCAGGGTTCAACTCTCCATTTTCTTTCTTTTCTTCTCCATTTTCAGTCTGACTCTTGGATTCATCTTCAGACTGTGGTTCATCTTTGTTTTCACCAGGTTTCTCTTCTGTATATAGTTTCTGATTTTCTTCTGCAGTTTTCCCGATATCTTGGGAACCAGAATTCTTTTCTTCTGGAGTTGCAACATCCTGTTTAGTTGCTTCGTCAGGTAGATCTCCAGGAGCATCCTCAAACTGTTTTGATTTCCCAGCACTAGTTTCACTACTTTCATCACTAGCATTGTTTTTTTCCTTGCTGCCAGTATCACTCTCATTTACCTGTTCTTTCAAGTCACTCTTGCTCTCTTGCTGTTGTGAAGATGCATCTGAATTTTGTACAGGTACAATGGATGATGATGTCATCATCCACACCCCAACCAAGCATAATGCCACAAAAATCACTATACTCACTGTTGAACAATAGTTTGGTGATGATTTCCGACCATCAACCCTAGAGTACTTTCCTAAAGCCATATTTCCCAAAGAAAATTATATTATCCTTTCAACAACTTCACAATTTTCACCTGAAATATATTTTAAAACTATGTTAGAGCATCCAGCATCCGCAGCTATGATAAAAGCAATTAATTTTAAGCATGCATGTTGAAAGTGTCAAGTAATATAATGCAAGTGGGAAAATTGAATCTCTGGGGTATCTTTTTTAGTTTCCATACTTAAATATAAATAAACACATATAACATCATAACAAAAAAGAGCAGATCAGGATGTCGTTTACTACAAATCATGCTGAAAATATGTTCCAAATGACCCCTAAAGAATCCAACCTGAAAGTGCAGTCAAAATAAAGGCATTGTCCCAATCAATTTTTACTAGCGGAATTGCGACCACTGTATAAAGCGAAGAAGACAATATAAGGAAGTAAAGAGGTACCCGCCCGATCCAGATCAATCAATAATAAATTAACATTAGCAGAAAAAAGAGAGATGGGGGAGACAAATCGTTAGCAATGGAGCGTTCCAATAAACAGATCTGGGAAGAAAACAATAAAGACGTTCCAGGATTCGAGTTTCCGTAAATGAAATGAATTCATGATCAAATAAAGATGCAACTTAACAATTGAAAACGGGATTTTCATTTCGGGCCTAAACAAGTAAAACAAGAGTTGGCCTTTAATGCTTAGCCATGAGAGTGCGCATGAATCATACCACATCATGTTATAATAGAAGAGAGAATAGAAACGACATATTAAGCTTCATGAGCTTGTTCATCGTTACCGGGGCGTAGTAATGGCGGATCTGTGATGCGATTGAAGCTACAGAATCAGAAATGTGCCACCATTGCCGAAACTCGGATCATCTTTTGAGCCTCTGCGGTTGATTCAGCGAGAAGGAGCAAAACACTTGGTTGGTTTTAAAGGAGGAACGAAGACCAATGCTGCTAGGATCCTCAATTATTCAATTATTATAATCCGTGGCAAAGACGATTTTAATTAATGAAACACAACAATCAGCTTAAAATCTTTAAATCCACTCCAATTAATCAATTATGGCTACAATAACTCGTTTATGTTATGAAATTAATGATTGTTCATTTATTCAATTAATCAGGACTAATTTCTAGAATAGTAGATTAAGACATTCATTGATGAGTATCAATTATGTACAGTACTTCCCACTTGTATTTGTATCCATATCAACGCTCTCCACTATAAATAGAGGTCTAATCCCTACATTGTAATCATCATTAAGAATAAGAAGAAGAGTGAAGAATTAATAGAGAGAAGAAATCAGAAATATATTATATCTATTCTCATAATCTCTGAGTAGTTTTTCTCTTATTTTATAACACGTTATCAGCACGAATTTGCTCAAAATCCCAGAATCCTTGTTCTTCTCAGAAGGTATATTTATTTAATTTTCTTCATAAACAAACTAAAATATTTTCTTAAAAACTATGAGAAGTATGCTCTGTGATTGCCCAAATTTGGGATCCTTCACACCAGAAAATCATGTTTCATAAATTTAAACCATGAGTAGAATTTAATACGTATTAGATAAGATCTAAATAATAATAATAATAAGTAGAGATTTACAAAATAAATTAAATGATTGATCTTACCTGATAAAATCTTCTATCAATATTTTGCTTCCAAATCCTGCACACAATTCTCTCCATTTTTAAAGGGTGGAGACTAGAGAGAGATGAATGACTTGTAAAATTTACTCCGGGATAGTATTAATATAGAAGCTTTTGCTTGGTATCTATTTTTCAAATAGAATTATTTTAGTGGATATTTTAATACGGAGTAGGTACAATTTTTTTTAAAGATGTAGACAACCCATTCAGGGAACCACAGTACATTGTTTTTGGTTTTGTTTTCTTTTACTTGTTCTCTCTTACGGAGTATCTCTAAGCAAATAATTAAAAAAAAATGCTAGCTATTATATTAGTCAGTAACTTTTATGTTTGTAGTGTATTGACTCCATCCATTTTCCTCCACTTGTTTTTTTTTAAAATAAATTTATGAGAGAAACGAATATCACTCCGTATTTTTTTTAAAGATATAGACTCTTTCAAAATATATTAATACAATAACCTTGCATCTAAGTGATAAGATTTTTTTTGGTTCATATGGATGTACAGAAAAGTTTTTGTTTGATTCTTATGGGGATCATTATACTTGTTCTTTTAATTTGAATACTCCTCATTATTTACTCATAGACAGCAAGTTTTTTTTATTCCTTATTTAAAAAAAAAACTTGAAGCTTTATTTTTTTTACAAAGAAATAAAATATAATAAGCTAACAAATTTAATTTATCTTGTAGTTATTTAATGGCCAACATCACCAAAAGAGAATTTGACATTCTTGATTTATCTGGTCAAAGGTACCTGGAATGGAGGGTTGATGCACTTGCTCACCTTAAGGATTCACTTGGACATCCATTGAAAAATATAAGGATTCCAAGATCAATTGATTTTCCATGTGTTGCCTGCTCTCTTGGAAAGATGATTGTCAGGCCATCTCTAAATAAAATTGGAGTTGAATCTCTTGCATTTTTAGAAAGAATTCAAGGAGATATTTGTGGGCCAATTGCCCCAGCATGTGGACCATTTCGTTATTTTATGGTGTTGATCAACGCATCAACACGTTGGTCACATGTTAGTCTTTTATCTACAAGAAATTTTGCATTTGCAAAACTCCTTGCTCAAATAATACGTTTGAGAGCTCAATTTCCGGATTATTCAATAAAGAAAATCCGACTTGATAATGCAGGAGAATTTACATCTCAATCATTTAATGACTATTGCATGTCTATTGGGATTGATGTGGGGCATCCAGTTGCTCATGTGCACACTCAAAATGGTCTTGCTGAGTCTTTAATAAAGCGATTACAATTAATTGCTAGACCATTATTGATGAAATCCAGTTTACCTGCATCTGTTTGGGGACATGCTATATTGCATGCTGCAAATTTAATTCGGCTAAGGCCTACTGCAAATCATATTTTTTCCCCATTGCAATTGGTTACTGGAAAAGAACCAAATATTTC